GTGTAAAGAAGGCTTCATCTACTTCTTCCCCTTGATTAGCTGGTCTCTAGCAAACACACAGGACAATGTTGTCCCTCTATCCTCTGATCCTTTTGCATAAGCTGTTGGCTGGCTCATCACCCACTCCAAGGCAAAGCTACATGCATTCGAATCAGATCTCTGCATAGAGTGTGACCCTCTTCCTCGCTTCCCCACCTTGTCCTTCCGAAAGAGCCTGTATCCATCACTTGCAGCTATCCTAAGATGTCTCTGCAATCCCAAAAGCCTCACAGCTCTGCGACTATATGCAGAGTTCTAATTCCTCCTCCTCGTTTCCCATGCTGGTATTATTAATTCACATGCAGAATATCCTTGCTTAGATGTAAACTATTTTTCATTAAGAATTTAAGTTTAAAGAAATGGATAGTTCCACTACAAAAAATCTTGTTGTGGGGTACTACTAGATACCAACAGCATATTCAGTTCATTCACTTTAAGATCTCACTCCTATACAACTCGCAAATATGGCACAGAATGGCAAACACTAACTTTTGTGGTATAAAAGTACAAAATCACGCACTATACTACACTTACTTTGGAATTTTGAAGGTGATACAGTGCATCTCAAATAATGTTTTGAAATTGTTCTCTAAATAACATGGCATATTTGTTTACAGTCTATGATTTTTCTTTATACAGCATTTAAGAATCACTCCTTTTTTTTGGTGCCTGAGTACTTGTCAAACGCCTATCACATAGGGGTGACAGGGAACCATCTGCCTCCCTCCCCCAAAGGCACCTCCTTTTACTTATTACCACCTGTTCTTTTTTCAGTTCCCAAATGGCAATTCTGAGCGATACCAGATACACTGGAAAAAGCCAGGAAACAGGTCCTGGCTGAGTGTTTCAGTCTTATCACTAGCATTTAACCTCCACGAAGAAAACCCAAATGTATCCATTACTGAGGTTTTCACAGACCACACAAAATAATGCTGTAAAAACAATGACAAGAAATAGCTTTGTTATAATTGAGCATGTTAGTATATCCGATCTGTAATTGAGAAGGTCAGAGGCTGACCCATCAGGATCTAATTGTAAGTAAAAAAGGCTGGTTTTGTGTAAAAAAGGAGGGGGGAGAGATCTTGAGGTTGCTGAGAAAGTCATTCCTAAGGCACAACTAAGGTTCTTCCTTCTCACTGGGATATGCAAGAGTCCTCTGTGGTGGCATCTGCAGGACATAAGAAAAGACCACCTAACTTCTAATCAGTAAGGCAAAGAGAGGAGCATTGAGATTGCCAAACACTGGCAGAGGGCAAATGCAGAGGAATGTAGTAATAGATGTGCTTGCCTTTCTTTAGGTAGTTCTTAAATTCTCCCTAAAAGGCAAAGCAGGCAGCAGAGCCACAACTCCAGTGAAATTCCCAAAGGTACTTAGCCTCCAAGGGAAGGACACTGTCTGGGAAATACAGACACAATTTCAAATCTCAAAGTATTTTGAAAGCAGATGAGATGCTTTTCAACTGTCTTTCAGAATTTTACACCTCAAATAAAGTACAGGGGATATTGGTAGGAAAAGAGCACTTAACTCAGACCATTTACCTGAATCCTACTCCCTCTCCTCCCCCTTTTAACCTTCTCAATTATGGACAGTTGTCCTAAAATCTCCTCTCTCAATGCCACAATTCTTTTCTATATTCCAGAAAAGGCCAAAGTCTCTCTGTACAGCTAATCCATTTCCAAGTACAGTCTTCTTTTCTAAGCTTATCAACAGAGAATTATGGAATTTGAAAATAAAACAGCCACTCCAACAAGCCTTCAAATTACCCTAACTTTTTTAGCCAGTCAATTCTTTAATATTTTCCACAAATAACTTCCGTATATACTGCAAGCCTTTCAGAATTCACCCCAAATACAAAAAAGACCAACCCAAAAGAAACTTATGTCTGATCAACAATTATATTAAGCTTATTCTTACAGATGAGAGTCTGCATATACACTGGTCTGTGTGGCTATGAACAACATACAGTCACATACATTCAAGCACCAAAATTGTCACTGTGAAGAATACAAGATGAATCACCAAAATCACCTGTGAAGTCAGAAATCTATGTCCAAATACAGAAAACCTTTTCCTGTAGAAGATAATCACATGATATACTTTGCGCCTACTGTATTTAAAAATTATGCTACCATCTAAGACTGAAGAAAATACAGATGTGGCATTTTACTTTCAGACCACTCAAAACCCCTTACAGTACACCTCAATAAAGCTATGGATGGAACAGTATCAGTCTAGGCAGCAAAAACCAACACACTGGAAAAATTCCTTATGAAGGGTTCAGATTGAAACAAGCTAATGTACAGACAATTAAGTTCTGACAGAATATGTAAAGTGCAAACAGTTTTATTGGTTTATTTCTATCTAACCTTTCTCAGCATGTCTCCCTCAAAGTCTGAGTAACTCTGCCTTTTCCAATTACTCAAACTCATTTCTGATGGCAGCCAGCTACCCCCTTCCTCCTTGTCAATCATACCACAATCAATGCTGTAGTCCATTTATAGATGCCCACACAACAGTCTTGGTCCATGTCTTCAACACTGGCCCATAAAGAATGCATGCGGCCTCTCTGAGAAACTCCTACTTTCTAATACAAATTTAATTTATTAAAGACCAACTTGATACAATAAGCAAAAGGGCTAACTGGAAATAGTTTGTAAATAGCCAGATGTTTGCCAATTCAGCTTAAGAAGGAGAAAACAGAGAACAGCAAGGGAAGGGTCATACTGCTAATTGGGATGAAGAACTCTGGTGAACACTTAATCCAACATTTTTTTACTGAAATTACTTTTCAAATCGCAAAGTAGGTATTTCTCATCATCAGGTATGAATTTAAAAAGAAAGCTCTCTGTATTAATGACTGAAGTGTCCAGAATAATTTTTGCTCAAATTAGTGTTTTTAATTTTCATATCAAGGTCATGAAAGAACTACTATAT